AATGCTTAATGCTATTTAATAAAGGAAGATTACAGTCTAAATGTGCGCTTTTTGAACAAATTGAATTACATTTATTAATTCTCAATTGGTATCAGAAACCGAAGATAATTCACAAATATTTGAATTAAGTTAATCTAGCTTTACAGTATTTCATTTTATTTTCATGCAGTCAGGCAAGACTTTTATCGGTTCTGATCTCGCCTAACAACTAACAAGTTCTTCTCAATATTAAAAAACCTATATGAGTATATACTTCAACATTTGTATTACATATAAGAAAATATCTATTATAATAAGAGATTCTAATGTATATTTATTTTGTTTAAAATATTTCTATTGAATATTATAAAAAAAATATAATTTTGATGAAATAAATTTACTACAACGAAGACAATTTATTATAAGGAAGAATCTCGTATATGACGGAGAAAATTTCAAATTTCTATATGTTGTTTAAATTAAGAAAAGATGTGTAATTTATTAACAATATAATATATTGTAAGGTACCAAAAAAATGTAATAAATATTGAAATAAATAATGCATACATATACATAATATTTAGGCCCCTACAAAAAAAAGAATTTATTTTTTATTACGAATAAAATTTCATTATACACTTTCTTTGATTTACACGAAATATTGATTCTCCAAATTTTCATTTGATTAAAAATAGCCAAAAGAAAACATAAGAAAAAAGTCTTTGCCCGATGTAAAAATATTTATTTCAAGTATTTATAGAAAAACAATAATAATTAAAGTTTAGAAAAAACAATTTTTGTAATTTTATTAATTGTTATTTTTCAAAATGATCAATCTTTTCTTTTCGTCAAGAAAATTAACTAATCGAATGCATAAACTAATAAATCGAAATAATGTAATAAGAAACGATTGAATAAGAATTTTAAACAATAACAATTTCATACAGAAATATTATTTTGTAAATGATATGTACAAAAAGTTCGTGTAAATCGAGAAGTGAGTGTAATTATTTTTCGCTTCTTATTCGTTTACAAAAATTATTATATTTATAATACTTTTTTTTTGAATAAATACTTGAAAAAAAGTCTAGTATTAAATTATTTATGAATTCTCCTATTTATCCAATGTGTTATTTTAATATTTTCCATGAAAACACAAAATCCATTTCATTATGTAAAATTATGTTTTTCCTACCAGATCGTAATTAAAAATACAACTTAATTTTATATATCTGTATTTACACTAAGGAACATATAGATACGATTATTTTTAAAGTGTTGCAATTCCTTTTTGAGAAAGTTTATAATTGTAATTGTGGAAGTGAAAGTTATGTTTCTTTTAAATGCGCTATCCATTGAAAGAGGCCGAATAAATATACAATTATTATAAAATAATAATATAGCGTATATATAAAGTACATAAGGAATAAATATAATGAATTTACAAATAAATACTTATTATTATAGTTAAATTTATATGTATAGATATTAATCTAAAAAAAGACGAGATATCCATAGAAACAAAATAACAATGTTACGCAATATTAATTTATAAACCGTCATGTTTTCTATTTAAAGACTATAAAAAAAAAGTAATATCAATCATTCATAATAACTTCATAATTTCCAAAATATATCGTATACATATAATATATAATACTTCTTTTTCCATATACTTACAGGATGTTAATATAAAGTTTTTTAAAGGATCGATTCTAGGCATTAAACAAATACAAAAGTTAATATACAAAGAAGGTTAACTGAAGTTTATTTAAGATATAAATAATTAGAAGTTGAACAAAAGGAAATGGAAATAAAATAAGAGTATTTCTGTTACACTGTTGTCGCATTTTGTTTCCATCTCACTTCGTTTAACGCTAATTTCAATATAATGAATATATCTTAATCAATATTTTTATATATTTGTTTGTTTCAATCTTTAGAATCGATCTTTCAAAGATATTTCATGAACATATTAACACTCTGTACATGTATACATATGTAGATATTTGAAATACATATTTTTAAACCGATTGAAGATTAATTAAAATCAAGAATTAATTGTGAAGTAAAAAAAGTTAGTAGTTAATAGATTAAAAATTCGTAATTTTATTATTTTTATAGAAGTTTCAAAGAGAAAATAGAATATATTAATTGTAAATTTCGATTTAGTAAAAGCTTATAAATTTTCTGAGTGAAGAAGAAGAAGAAGAAGAAGAAGGTGAAGAAAGAAGAGTAAAATATGTATTTAATTCGTCATAGGCGAGAAGACAGTCAATCGACGAAGTTAATGATATAAATTTTTTCCGAGTCTTAGAATAAAGTTTATTTTGCGATTTGCGATGCAGGGTGTTTCGAAAACAGCTGTTTAATTTTTTTAATATTATGCATAATTTAAAAAAAATATTTATAATACAAATATGAATTCAAATTTTCTTTTTAAACTTTATAAAACTATATATTATTTTTATACAACGTGTAATAGCAAGATATCCTGACTCTGCTTTATCGACGCTGCACTGATTACGTGTAATTAATCCTCATTGATAGTATTGGATTTTTTTCACCAATATGTGTTAAATCATCATTTGAAGATCACTATTTTTTAAACTAATGTAAATAACAATAACAATAATAATAGTTTTGTAGCTATCTAGAATAAATTAAATAAAAATACAATTAACATTTTTTCTCATTGGATGCCGCGATTCTTTTTCGAACGATTCTTTTTCCAACTCATGACATTCTCGTATGTATCTATGTGAAATGATATTTTATTTTCTACATATGATTTTTTAAAGTTCAATGAAGTAAAATCATTTGTAAAAAAAATAGATAAAATAGATAAAATTGTCAGAAAAGAAGCAATATAAAAAAAAAAATAAGTTTCGTATTTTTCATTTTCGTTCTATTTTGTTTTGTTATTTTTGCAGCTGGATAATTTTCCGAAACACCCGAAAAGTTAAAGTTTAAACGAAAAATTCGATTTTAACGAATGAAACGAACAGTTAAGGCTGTTCCAGTTCGCACTCGTTATGGCAGTGATCGCTCAGAGTTTGATCGCTAAGGCAGTTGAGCGCTATTTAAAGAAAAAAAGAGCAAGAACTCCTGCAGAGAATCATCTTCAAGAACACACTCTCATTTGATAAGATTCATCCATATTTTTTTTTTCCTAACGTACAAGCTAAATATAGATAAAATAAATCTGATGTATTTCACATGCCAACGTACACTTTTTCTTTTAGTATACGAGGAAAAGTTATAAAAATAAAGAGATTCCATTAAATTCAAAAATTTCGTTTCCTAACCTAAATTTCATATTGGAATCTATAATGCGTATCTCTCTAAACATCTGCAAATAAATCAAGTTTAAAAATTTCTAGTAAAGAAAATTTAATTAATTTCCAATGAGATACGAGTAACCTTTAATTTTTAACTTTTTCTCATACATTCGTATAACATTCACTTTTTTTTCGAAAAATTTTCTTCCTCGATTTTATTTTCAAATGTATAGTAATCAACTACTGAACACTTCGACCTTCAACTGGAAATCTATAAGTATGATTACAATTGATGTAATTTTTTCGACGAAGTCAGTGTTGTCGAATTATATTTAATAGAAACTATTGATATATAAGGTGTCAAAGAAAGGAATATATGTATATTTTGAGAATATATAGTATGAGAATTAGCAAAAATGTCATAATCAATATTTGAAGTGCAATATATACTTGTTATACATAAAAAAAATGCCATAAGCGCCATCTTCATTCTTTTAAAGTTACGTTATATCAGTACGAAATAATTATTTAAATTTATAATTTTCCATAATTTTTTTTAATTTATTTATTTATTAATTTATTTTAATTTAATTTTTCTATATTATTTGTCTATAATATTTTTTGATTCAATTTATAATAATTGAAGCAAATAATAATTAATTATATTTACATGATACTTTTTCATTATTTTTCATTATTTTATTTTTTTTATTTATAAATATTTATTTAGCAATATAGTAAATTTTTATGTATTTTTACTCATTTTACTATTCTCTAAAAATATACGACATATCAAATTTTTGAACTTGAAAATTTAGTGAAAAAAATCAATTAGAATCAATCAGTTCTAAATATTCTAAAAAATTATTATCCTTTCTTTAACACTCCGTATATATCTTCGTTGAGATTATATTTTTGTCGATAGTGTACACATAATTCAAATTTTTATTTTATAGATTCGATTATTAAGTTTAAGATACTATTTTGTTAATTGAACATCTTAACAACAAGTTTTAAAATGTATATATTAAAAGAACAAGTTGCAATGAACGAGTTCTTGGCTATTTTATTTGGTGGTCTAACTGAAATCAAAATCAGAAAGAAAATACACATTCAGAAAATCTATTTTCACTCACAGATCTATTCGATGTCCTAATATCTGCACAATCAAATCGAATCTCAATTAAATGCATATTTCTGTTCCCTTTATAAAACTACATTTATCTAACTATGTAAATCACATTCGAAAAAATGTCTTTCGAAAGAATATCCGTTAAGAAGAATAATATTTACAAGAACAAAAATGAATTTGAGAAAGTGAAAAAATTAAACAAAAAAAAAAATTCTGCTAGATTGACTTTAACAAATAACTAAATATCTATTATAAATATAAAATAATAACATCGTATAACGAATAAAAATTCAATAAACTTCCAATAAATTATAGTCTTTACACTCTATTGATTATTACATCGATAAATAATATTTGTCTTCGAATATAAACTTCAAATGATTAAATTAAATAAACACATAGGATACTACACAAAAAGGCAAGGCACTTGGAGACTTGCGCTTAGCCGAGTATAATATCCCGTCTCGAGTTTCGAAGAGCAAGTCCCTGCGCCATCGATGTCCTCTTACTTATTTCCACATGGATCAACTATTTATAGAGTCGTTACGAATTTTCATTCTCAGCTATTCTAACTCTGACGCGTGTCCTCGAACGGATCTTCTTTTTTATTCCTCTCTTTTTTTCTTAATCAAGATAATAGTTCTTAGGCAGATACTTCTTGGAAGTTTTCTCATTCGTTTTCTTTGAATAAAATCTTCTGACTCTTTCAGGCTTTTATTGTGGTCCTAGTCACGTGCTTTTCTATTTTAAATCAATTTTAACAACATTGTAAATATTCTTTCATTCATGTAAACGAAGAAGACGATATCCACACTTAATAAATCTCTCTCTCTCTCTCTCTCTCTCTCTCTCTCACACACACACACACACAGATTCCATCCATTTCGATTTCACCATCGTATATTATTATCTGTTAGATTTAAATAACATTCTTGTTTCACTTATAAAACAATTACACACGAAATGCTTCGAAATAGTTTGAAATCGTATGTTTTACCGCTCGAACCTTTACTTCGTTTATCTAACTCTTATCTAACACGAACTTTGTCTTTTCTTTTTGATAATGAAGTTATTATTGGAATAGTTCGATTCAATATAGGATAAAAGCTCTGGTTACCAAGCATCCGTATATCTTACGTCAAACTCTTGCAAAGCTGGTAAACATTTCTTCAGGGATTCGAACGTTTGGACAGAAAGTTTGGTGCTGTTTAGATTCAGTTTCCTTAAGCTCGTTAACGCTATAAAAATTAAACGAACGTCAAGGTTAATTGCCACAAGGGATATAATTTGGATTTTTCATTAAAATTGAAATTTTGCAAAATTATTATCCTTCCAGTAAATTTTATGGATCAAATTCCTAATTTATATTGCTTTACACTTATACTATACATATCTAATCTAATCCCTAAATTATAAATACATATACATCTCATGCACTACCAAGTTAATTGGATAACTAACTATTAAAATTTGGTTGCAATAATCAGAGTTCTATCATGCTATATTCTATCTTACATACTATGTTCTATCATACATTCTTCTGTACTTACAAACCAAGGTAGAGATTCCTTTATCAGAAACAGGGGTCTCGCAAAGATTCAGAACCTGCAACTTTTGCAGATGTTCACTGATCATTTGTAGGCCTGCATCACCAAACTGCGTAGCCCACAAGTTTAAATGCCTTAAAGCTGGTAATTTGATTAACTGCTCAGCACAAGCTGAAGTGACCGAGGTAAAAGCCAAACTGAGATATTCCAGGCTACCAAGAGCTCTTCCATTCAAAAGAAGAGCGACGTCTGCGTCTGTTGCACGGGCTGGTAATGTTAATCGTCTAGGACCTCCTTTTCGCAGCTATTTGAATCAAAAAGTGAACGAGAATTATTATATAACTCACTTATTATAAGAACTCATAAGAAATATTTATTCTAAATAATTATTCTAATTTTTTTTAAATTATTAAAAAAGAATATTATATATTAATTACTTGTATGTAATTCATCCTAATTAATACTTGTAATTTATGTTACTCACCAGTTGCTGTAAATTCTTTTGTCTTTGGCAAAGAGCAGCATAACGTTCTTTACCCGAGGTGGTCGATTCCAACGCACTGACTATTTGCAATTTAGCTTCTTTACTCGACAACAAATGCCACTCTAACATCAAGCAAAGAGCTTCTTGGGCAGCTTCGCAATCTCTTACCGCCAATAATATACAATCATCGCGTACCTGTTTGGTCAACCAGCTGATAAACTTCTTTCTTCGACAACAGCATGCCAGCAGTGTTGTTAGCTGAATACAAAAAAATTTGAGAATTAATATCACATTATGATAAAAAGTAAAAAAAAAATTACTTACCATTTCACCGAACAATTCTCCTTGATCAGGACAATCTGGACTAGATGGCGCGGCGATATGAATCCATCCAGGCCTAGATTCCCTGACTGGAAGTAGAACACGGTGAACAACGCACCTTGCGTCTTTTGCCAAACGGTTTATCACGCACATTAATATAGATTGTTGAACCTCCTTTAAAGCAAAAGCTTCATCCGGAAATGGCACCGGTTGCAACAAAGCACCCATTTCTGGCCTCCAATCGGCATATTCTGATCTGAAAAAAAAAAAGATTTAACAATCAATTCTTAATTCGGTCGAAGATTTATGTTTACTGTTTATGATAATGAACATACGTAATGTTTAGCACCAACAAATAACAATCCAATGGCGGAAAGTTGACGATTTCTCGTTTTCTGGTAAAGAACGTTTAGCCACTTCAAACCTGTAATTAAAATATGATAAAATTCGCATTAGTGCATAATAAATTATTATTTTTATTCATTCGCGTATACGCGTGTGTTTCATTTAACATCGTAACATGCAAGAATGTTCTCTACTGCGATTTATTTCATATCGTAGCAGATTTTTTTTTTTCTGAACAGACGTGCTTTTGGCATATCGTGACATATGGAATTCTAAATCTTACCTCTTTTTTTTAATGCTCCTCTGCGTGTATAAAAAAAAACAAGCTGACGTATTTACAAGCCAACACAAAAGTAACAGCTACTTCAAGTTGGAAATAAAAAAATTTCACTTGAATATTTTTTGCTTTTCATTGATCCTTAACAACATATTGTTGAAGAATAAGAGTCTGAGACTTTAATGGATTACTCGTTGAGAGGGATAAAAAATTCTTGATTCAGCATAAAACCTGAAATAAATTTTTTCGGAGAAAATGTAACCTTTGTATTATTGTAATATTGTATGGGTAATATATTAAATTTAAATAAAATAAATAATTTAGAAATATGTTTAATTATAAAAATATAAAAGAGATATTATATATAATAATTAATTTTTAAACATTACATATCAATCAAAAATAATAGAAACGCAAGAAATCTTTATTTTTGCTTTCACAATATATTCAGAATGAATTTTTTTTTTATTTTATTCTATTTAATTCATCTTTATTTCTTCATAAGAAAGATTGTGTATCCTTAAAATCTTAAACTCTTTTTTCTTATTATATGATATTTTGTTTAAATAATGAAAAAGAATACAAGATATAATACAAAATTATATCAATGTAATGAATAATTCTCATTGTAATAAAACAAAATATTGATAAAAAAAAAATTGTATAATTTACTATTAAGGATAATGAATTGAAAATGAAGCAATACATTAATTTCACTTGATTTTCTATAATTTAGAAAATATTTTATAATGTAATAATATGTAATATATTTTTTACAATATATTAAATACAATATTTATAGCATATTTTAAATAATATAATATATAATATAATAATATAATATATTATATATTATTATGTTTTTATGTTAAAAGTTGGAACTTTAAGCAAAAATAAAATGAAAATGTTATTAAAAAAAAAAAAAAAACTTTAAACGTCAAACTGTGTGAGATTTTCCGTAAAATTGTTTCCAAGCAACTAACTAAAGTCATATTCTTCGCTAAAGGGTTTAGTTTCTGCACTTTCAAACAAGATACGCCAGAACATCCGTGCCTTTGATACTCTTTAATGAAGCATGGATAAAATACAGGGTGAGTCACGCAATTTACAACGATGCACTCACCAAGTGCAATTAGTTCTTTTTTTTTTTTTTTTTTAAATTAAACTCATACGTTTTCTTCAAAAAAAAATACATCTTCAATATTATTTTGTATGACAAATATTATTATAAAATAAAATTAAAGACATCTCGTGAAATATTTCAAATCTATTAATTATCTTAAAATCTTAATTCCAATTCTCTTAACAGTGAATCTTGAACATTGAAACCATCGAATTTTGAGACTATAATATAAGACTAGTCAAGATTTCATCCGATCTCGCCCGAATATTTCCGATCTTTCCCGAAGTTCGAGTTTGAGACAAGGACAAGACTGCACGCTTCTAGTACATAATTAGAAATCTATAAGCAAGTGTTAAATGTACAATTTACAATTTGTAAACCATCAAAACGATCTTTCTATGTATAATCCTTATTTAATATCACATATCTGTACAATATAATCGCATCTCTTATTTGTGAATAGAATAAAAACAAAAAAAACTCACCTATGAAAAATCGCAGCAACACAAACGGACACTAAATTAGGAAGCATCCTTGGATGAGGACAGTCGCTACCAGATCCGTGAATCGAAGCGATGTAATCCCTGATAGCTTGCTCTCCGCCTGTCGCGTATAGGGAGGCTATGAACACTTGTAATAGTTTCCTCATGTCCAAAGATTTGCCGAAATCCACCGTGTGCTTCAAACATCTTGTAATCGCAGGGCTTATGGCTGTAACCAATGACGACTGTGGATGTTGTTGGGCTAGCTTCACAAGAACTCTCGTCAAACAAACCGGAAGCGCTACTTTGTCCAAAAGTGGGGACACCACGGAGAGAATAACTTCTGCCCAATGTTTACGATCGTTTTGATATTGAGATATTTCCTCGCTTGATTTTTCCGAATTATTTTCGATTGGAGATTCGACGACAGAATCCTCCAGATGCTTCGCGACAGCTTCCAACGGTGCCACCGATACTCTCTCGTCTTGAAGCGATGTCCATAACGCGAAATCTACCATCGATTTTAGCTCCTTGATGATCACTTCCTCCCGAGTATTTAGAGACACTAGATGCTGATATTTGAAAATACTCCTCTGAAAAATTGAAAAATTTAAAAACAATTAAATATAACTTATGATAAAATGAAATCCTTGACTATATACATATATTTTGATATTATTCGATAATTGTCAGAAATACATTCTCAGTAATTTTTCTATGTATTTCATTGTTATATAAGTTGTAACGTGTACCGGCAGTATATAGATGCAAATTTGAACGGACGTAACCGAACTGGGACGAATCAGAAAGAGACGGGAATATCGTCTAATTGCAGTGTTTGTTCGTTATAAGCTTGGCTATAATAGAATATGACAACTATAGAAAGATAAAAAAGAATTTAGAATTGAAGAAGATTTTGAGAAAAATTTATAATATATATTTTAGCGTGAAAATTGTTTTAATTCAAATTCAAAAAAAATTTTTTTCAATTAAAAGAATGAAAAGAGCTTGAATTGTATCATTTGTGTAATATTTAAATTAATGTTTAAATGAATTAAAATAAGTGAAGATTTAAAAAAGAGATAAATATATTCTAAATTCAAAGAAATTTACCTTCCATAGTATCGAATGATACCATTGGTCCCTCGTATAAGCATTATTCGCTTGGAGAAGAAGAGAACTGTTTGGCAGAACTATGCTAAGGCAGTTCTTGTAAGTAGGATCCCATCTTGTAACAGCATATTTCCGTATATCTGACATGTTGCTATACGGTATCGGTTGTCGAAAAAATCCCGTTCGCTGAAACAAATTGCACATCAATTAATAAATTATATACAGTTGTTGAATTTATTTAGAAAAAAAATTTATAAAATCGAATATTCCGTATCAGCGGCATAAATCGTACCAACAATCATAAGAATCGATAATACAGGCGGTGATTCATCGAGTCGACTCGGTTTACACTGTAATAAATATAATTTTGTAAAATGAAAAAGTGAATATTCCAGGCTAGCTGATTTTTCACACTCTAATTTATATTTGTATAGCATAAAACACGAGACGTGTTTGCGTGAAATTGCAACGTGTGTGATTCTCGATGTATGTACACGCACGTGCGTTGTGTAAACACCACACACACACACACACACACACACACACACACACACACACACACACACACACACACACACACACACACACACACACACACACACACACACACACACACACACACACACACGACGACGACGA